AGCTGCTGTCGCCCGAAGAGCCCGCGGTGAGCGAGCTGGAGTCGGTCAAGGAGAACAACTGTGCTTCCAACTGCCACCTGGACGGGGAGGCGGCCAAAAAGCTGATGGGGGACGAGGCCTTGGCGGGGGGCGACAAGTCGGACCCGAACCTTAACAACCCCGCGGACGAGGACCACGCCTATGCTTTGCGGATGCTGCCCAAGGCGGGCTGCGTGATCCAGCCTGTGCCAAAACCCGTGGAGAAGGCCGCCATGGCGCCCTGCATCATCTCCTCGCCCATGCTCGGCGCGGGGCCCGAGGACCTGGAGCCTCCGCTCAAAAGGAGGTGCCTCCGAATTAGAAATCAGAATAAGTAAAAGGTTTGTATGTCCCCCGGGCGCTCCTCCGCAGGCGGTGCGCCGCTCCTTCCTTCCCGCAAGGCAGCGGGAGAGAGCCGAGTGGATAACCGTGACCTCACCTTCCAGGTTTTGATACAGCGTGTGGTCACCCGCTCTCCCCACGTTGCTCCAGCAGCATCCCCCGTTTACAGTTGAGAAACTGAGTCACAGCGTGTAAGTGCCATGCCCGAGGTCACTTACTTAATGGTAAAGCCCAGTCTCGAACCTAACTTGAGACGCTCTCTCCTTAATTGCACTTTTATGATTATGCTCTGTGATGCATCGTATTGAAAGGGGGCGGGGGGAATGTGGGGGGAAAGGAGAGGTTACTGGGCACCGGTAAGTGTTCAGTCATGAGGTTTACAGAGCTGTGTAAAAGGTAAGCTGGGCCACTTCCTGGAGCTGGCATTCACGTCGGCAGGATGTCCCAGCTCACCAAATGTTCTTGATAACCGCAGGGTTCCATTTGCAAGATGAGAATAAAAACGACCTTTCTTTCATGCTTTTGCCACGGAGTCCCCTTTGCCGGGCAGGATGTTGGAGCAGTGGCTCATAGCTCCTGTCCACGGGATCTCTTCATTTGTCACCAACCAGCGTTTCCCAGCACGTGCTTTGAGCATCACTGACCAGCTTTGCTTTCTCCTGATTTGGGGGCTCAGCAGCTCAGCTGGTGTGTTGCTCAACCCTGCAGACAGTGGGAGGCTTTGACAGAGAGAAGGGCCGCATTGCCCGAATGGACGAGAGGGCACACCTCTGACCTCCGCAGGGGAATCCTGCTTAATGCCCAGCGAGCCACTGCTAATGTTGGAATTTCAGTAAGCGGCAGGGGGGCGTGTGTGTGCGTGTGTGTGCGTGTGTGTGCGTGTGTGTGTGTGTGTGGCATGCATCTGAATAGCCAGCTGTGGCCTCCTCTAATCCTCCCACCGATCCTGGTGGGCAGGCAGCATCTGCCTCTTACCAAGGAGGAAGATGAGGCCTGGAGATGTCACCCAAATCAGAGCTAGTGAGTGGGGGGGACCAATATTCAACTCGGGTCTGCCAAACCCAGAGCCAGAGCTCTCCCCCCTTTTCAAGAGGGCAGCAAACAGGCTGACATTCAGTTAAGATTTATTAACTGTTTGTGAAGAGGACAGGAAGAGACAGGAACATTCATTGAACGCCAGACTTGTGCACACCAGGAGCTGAGGAGGTGCCAAGGAGAACGGGACAGGGTGCCTGCCCTTGAGGCGCTTGCAGCCGGTGGGATAGAAACCCAGGAAGCAGGAGGTCTGGGTAGGGGACCGGAGTGCACGGGAAGAGCAGTAGCTCATGTTTGTTTGCATAGGCTGTCTTCTAAGTGTTTTCCAGTAGTAGTTATTCAGATCCAATCCGTATGACAATTGTTATTGTCATTTCACTGATGAGGAAACAGACAGAAATTAAGTAACTTGCCCCAAATCAAGTTAGTAAGCAGAGCCAAGGTTCAAATCCAGCCTAACCTCGGACCTACATTTTCTTTAAACCACCAAAATAGGCTAATTGGTCCCTTTATTTTAATGCTTGATAAAATTCTTTTATCCACCTCAGTTGTCTTAGGGCAAAGTTCCTAGAGAAAAATCAAGCTTACCTACCAACTTCTCTTTAAGTGTTTAGACAGGGTTCAGTCTCTTTTTTCAACTGACAGTATTCAATTCTTGTTTTTACAACAAACCTAGAATAACAACCCACTCGTCCACAGGGGGCAATGTAGGTGTGGTCCAGAAAACTCGATGTGGTGTGTCCAGACCATCGTCCCTAAGTAGGTCCAGCGTATTTACACTCACGCCTATGTAACTTATAGCCATAGTTTGCCTGGGAAGCACAGAGCAGGGGGGCTTGTTGGGTGCTGCAAGAAGGGATTCTCAGCCATCATAGTTTGAGGTTTCCTTTCCCACTGATGGCTTTGCCAGTAGGAGCAGAATATTTAAAATCAGTTTGCCATTTCTTCTTGAGTCTGCATCTACAAGTTCTGCTGTCTGAAAACTGATGGCCTCAGCCTTCTCAGAGTCGCCTCAATTGGAAATGCCCCTGATTTCTCCACCAGAGTAATTTCATCTGGTCGACAAAGCTATGAGTGATGGGAAGATGTGGGACAAAAAAAAAGTGATGGCTTTCAGAAAGCCAGAGAACACTGGGAATTGTAATTTTAAACACATTCTAATATCACTCATTCAAATGACATAAGAGGAAGAATGGGACAGTAAAAGATTTTACTGCCATTACTGGAGTGAGAAGTGACCAGATCAAGAATAGTGCCACTGGTCCATAAGTAGCATGGGGCCAAAAGAGCATAAAAGAGTGAAATATATGATGAATATTTGGATGCTGTATGTTTCTGAGTAAAGAATTAGGTGAGGAGGGTCTTGTGTGTGGACCAGTCATTACTAAAAATATTAACCTGGCTTTAGCCAATTTTAGGAGATGCAGTGATGAAATTAGTCATAGCCCCTTGAGATGAGAGAATTCTTTTTCTAATGGGTCCCCCCAAGAAATTACAGCTTTTCTCTAAAGTCAGAGACTCTAGGCCGTGCCAACTACAGCAGGTGACAAGGCACATGATTTAAGATGGGGAAGAGCCGCCTCTCCTCCACTAAATCACATTTTCCTCTTGCCCTCTGTAGTTCCGGTTACCTCGCAGCACAGTCTCAACCTGCCGTAATTCACTCACAGCCTCTGACCCTTCCTGGTTTTCTGTGCACACGTGGTGCTGTTTTTCTTCTATGCCTTCAGAGACCCAGCCCGTTCATATGGTTGTGGAAATTGGAAATGCATCTGTTAAATAAAGGATTACGTGGCTTTTGTGCCCTGACAGCGAACACTGTTTTGTGATGAGTTAAGGCCAAAGTGGAAAGTATTAAAAACCAAAAACAAACCTGGGCTGAGTTTGGTGGGTGAGGTGCAGGTGAGTGGTTTTTCCATCTGCTGTTGGTGACTCATTATATTATTTCTCACAGGAAAATCTGTCAGTAACTTCAATCAGGGTTCATTCTTTTCACCATACCACCACCCTCAAACTGTGTTACTTTTTTTTTTCATTTTAAATAGATTCAAAGCAGACTGTATCTTGAAATCAATAGTCCAGGTAGCTACAGTTGTCTTCGAAGAAGTAATCATATTTGCTAGTTCTTGTCAAATTTTAGTATTTTTTCCCCATTTTGAAGTTATTCTGTTTCTGGTTACTTGACTTTATGCATTCTTGTTTGTTGATATGATTACAAATTATTTTAATGGGCAGATATTTCCCCAGATGCAGAACTAATTAAGTTTAGTTGAAGATTTTAAAAGATTGTAAACTTCCTTTCATCTTCAACTTTTAAGACTCCAAATACCAGTTCTGCAGCTTCTGTAAGCTGGAAAAAATATCCCCCCCAAATAATAAGGAAAACAGTGTATAAACATTTCCCAAACTATTCTGTCCACAAAGAATTCCATTTATAAATGGAATACACCCTTCTCTGTCTTTGCCTTGGAGCTTGGGGATAACTGTTTGTATTTGCACATTTTCTGAATTTCTACAGTTTACACTTGTTTATGGTACGTTGGGGAGTTCAGAGTAACCATTTGCAAATGTTTGAAGATATTCAAAAGAAAATATCCCCCCTCCTCGATTTTCCAGGGAAATGACATATTCTCTTTAAGTAAAATAATCAATGGAAAAAATGTGTACCGTGAGTAACCCTTTCACCCTCACTTTTTCCATTCCTGAGGAGCAACAAGTCCATACAACTTCCTACTTTTGTGGCTCCCAGTTTTCTTATGTTCCTAAAACCAGAAAGAAAACATGAGGCTCTTTTCCCCGGCCCCAGTTCCTGGTGCCTCCCCCCCCCTCCCCCCCAGCCTCAGCAGCAGGGCTTCTCTCCACTTTAGTTTTCTCCAGGGGAGCTGGAGGAGGCAGCTGTAGTTTGGGCTTTGTGGAGTTTAGAGTTTAATTATGAGTTTGGTCATGAAGCCACAATCCCTGTAAGGGCTGTTTCAAGAGGGGGCAGGGAACTTACCTCATTAGGAAAGCCAAAAGGGTGGAGGTGACATGTAGCGCTTGCCAGTGTAGTTTCTCCGGCTGAGAAGTTTGAGAGAGCAGTAGCCTTCCTGGGAAGTCAAGTTCATACATTTGAAGTATTACTATGGGTGCCTACTTTTAAAGCAAGAAACAGAAGAAAGAGCAAGGAGAGGAAAGATATACCAATGGGAGGTGCAAATCTTATGCCAGACTTGAGATTTTTAATATTCCAGTACTTGATCATTGGAAATGTGCATTGCTGACATACTCCTTGATGTTAAAGTTTTGGCTGCCTGTCAGGATGCTGACGGCTGTCCAGTTCTAGGTGTAGAGCCAGAGGGAAACCCAGGTCTGCAGCATGCACACCTGTGAGCCGTGAGGACCTGGGAGGGTGCTTGCTGTGATCATTTCAGACTCATAGAGGAAAGATTTCTAGAATCAACAGTGACAAGATCAGCCTTAGACACATCTCGTTCAATGCTGCTGGGTCTGTTTTAACCCTTATGATGAGGGGATTGAAGGAGGGCTTTTAAAAGTGCAAGCATCTGGCTTTTGGATATTATCCCAATGCGATTATGATGGAGTAGGAAATGACATATGTGACCGGGTATTTATTTCTTTCAGAGGTAGCCATACCTCTCCATCTTCAGCAGGGCTGGGACTGAGGTAAGGCCGGAGAAGTGCTTAGTGCACAAACTTTAAAGAGGAACTCACTCCCAGGGTCGTGCAAGGACAGCTCTAATCCTGGCCCTGATTTCCAGACCTTCTGACCCATGTGGCCGCTCCCTGAGGCTAGTCTCCTGGCTCCGTGAACTAGTCTATGGATGGCCTTTAGCAGTTCCTTCTAGAATTACGTGGAAAGTTTTATGTGCCTGAGCACAGAGGCATTTTCTTGGGAGGAGAGGTCCATAGATTTTGGCTTCAAAAAAAGTATGCCTCACATCTCTGAAGGATTAGATGATATTAC